TGCAGTTGTTTTAGTTCTTCTTTCAAATTTCTGCTCAGAAATAGATAATCGGTATTTTCTTAATTAACTAGTACCTTAAATGCAAATAGTCTATCCAAAAATTAATTGCTTTTAGGAGTCTCCGAACGGTATTTCAAAATGGCCATTACTTATTAAGTAGTGCAAAATAATCAGGTGAGAGAGAGAGAGAGAGAGAGAGGGGGAGGGAGAGAGAGAGAGCTTAGAAGGTTTTAAATAATTTAGATATTCAGAGGAAGGTGATCATGCCTCAATACCCGAATTGGGTAGTTGGGGGCGTGGGATTTTATAAGTGCGGACTAATTTAGAGGGAGAGAGAGGGGGGGGGTTGATATTAAAAACACCATTATCATATAAGCTAACTTTAAATAGGATTCCCCGGGGAGAAGGGGGCACATCTTACAAAACACCAAAATTTGGGAGAAAAATTATTGAAGGTTTTTTGACCGGGGAATACAGACTGTAGAAGGGAAATGAACAAGAAGACCTAGCAAGGTTCAGGTTGTGGGTAGGTAACAGGACGGAGCTCGCTATGCAAATAGATGGGATCTCAGTGGGAAACTAGATGGCCCACTAGAAGCGCTAAAATAATCTGCTACACTTGGATGGAAACTATTCCACTATACAGACACAGCCATAAATTTTAGCAATCCTCGAACATGATGCAACCGTCTTTGCAGAAGTTACCACTTAGGCCTACAAGTTCACTGCATTAAACTAACCTGAAAGATAAATGCGTCTCCTGCCATTTTAAGGGAAAATAGTTAAACAAACATATAAATACCTCAAGGTGGGCCAGAAGTGGAATTTTTGCGCGCGATTTAAGTACAATGAGTGAGATCGCAGGAAATTGATTGACTAGACACTACTTTTCAGGGGTAACGCAGACTTCTTGATAAAATAATTAGAAATGCAACATGCGTGAATGCAGATAAATTATTTATTTAGATTGTAATAACTCAATGAAAGGCGTATTAGCATTGCTCAGTAAAAGAGCAACTGTGGTCATATTTGTCATGTGATTTTCGCCAATTACTTGCGTAGAAATAGAAAGTGAGCAATAAATTGGTGTGGAAAGTAATGGCTTAAATCTATTTAGTAGAATGCGATTTCGTCAAAAGAACAACTCCAGGATACACTCTTTCTCCACCCGATTCATGCAATTATTATTTAAGAGACAGGTAATAAATCTCATTAACAAATGATGGAGTATTGCAATGGGAGACAACTTAATTAAATGCCCATAAAAAGTTAACTAAGTTGCTAAAACAAGAGAAGAGAAAGTGCCCTCTGAACTATTTATTTATTTATATCAAGTGACAGGCGTTTTGATGGCTATCATTACCCCTTTAGTTGACTTCAGGCTTCACAGAGAGGAAGGACCATCAAAGTGAAAGAAAGTCGAGAGGGGGGGGGGAAGGGAAGAGAAGAGTGTTTCAAATACGAAGGTAGGAAAGATAGAAAAAAGGTGAGGTGAGTACTGTGTAAGTGGTGGAATATGACATACAGTGGGGTCATGGCAGTTTGAAGTCAGAAGTTAACTGTTGGTTAATAGAATTTTTTGCCGTGTGAGTATATGTTGCCCAGGGTGCACCACGTGGAGGTAAGTCTATCGTCTGAACTCTACTTCCTCATCCTCCTTAAACACACAAAATTTGTCATTTTTTCAGAGGACTATTTCATGTGAATGTACTCTTCAACTTTTCGGAATTTCTAGACATGCTTTCTACCAACTCTGGTAAGGTGTGATTGATATTTGCTAAATTCAGGGTCGCATAGATGGTGCAGGAAAAAGTTGTATTTTTCTAGTATCCTATTTAGCAGCACAGTGTGGTTAAGGTGAGAGAGATGCGTGCTGAAACATGATCCAAAGGTCATACCGACCACTTTCAGAGCTCGCTATGAACTATTGAATGTTCAGTATGCTGTTGTTCACAGCATTCTCTATCGATTACTTGTAATCTAAAGTTACTTTTTTTCGACACCTCATTTATCTCCTCATTACGTTTCTTTTCCCGTTGAAATCATTGTTTTTTTTGTACCGCTTAAATTAATAAAGTTATGGCAGAGCATTAATAAATTTGAAAGAAATTAAACAAACACTTGAATATTTCTTAGCTGGAAAATGGGCATAACCTGTGTGTATGCACAGGTCGCCTAATCTGCAGCACGATTGGCATTAATTTTTCGATTCAACCGCTTTATACTCATACGGCAAAAAGGTCTATTAACCGGCAGTTGACTTCTGACTTCAAACTACCATTACCCCCACTGTGTGTCATATTCCACCACTTTCACAGTACTCATCTCACCTTTTCTCTGCCTTTGTGTCTGTCTATCTGTCTCTTTTGTATCTGTGAATAACTCTTCTGCCCCCCCCCCCTCGAATTTTTCTCATTTTGATGTTCCTTCCTCTCTGTGAAGCCCGAAGTCAGCCAAAGGGCCAATGATAACTATCATAAAGCCTGCCATTTGAAATGAATAATTCACTGCAAATAAAGAGTGCCAGTTGAGTGAAATCTTCAAACTCGGTTGCTTCTTCTTTTGAACTCTGGGTCGCTAAGTCTATGGACAGTTACGGAGGAGCAACGAGTCAATTTGGTGCAAAGTCGTTCACAGCCTGCTCCAGTGAGTTAGGGTTTCAACTAAACTTGCAGGCCGGATTTAAGCCGCCAATTCAAAAAAACTAAGAACTTTACGGAATTCTCATCAAAATAATATTTATGCAGTCTACTTCCATTCTTTGTTTATCAAAGTAAATCAGTTTTGAAACACACCTTTAACTCCTCTCTTTCTCAGTAAGGCACAAATTTAAGCAACAATCGAGGAATTTATTGTCATTCTTTATTAGTGATAATACTTATTTCTCATAGTACCATTCTAACAGGACATGTTGAGGGCAAAAAAGAAACATTTCAAAGGATGAACAAAGAAAACGCATGTGTTCTCGAACAGTCCCAAATGTGCGGTTATGCTGCAAATTGCGTAGCGAGCAAGTGCGGTCGTGCGTGAAGAGCGTTCTCAGCCAACCAGCAATCAATATTCACTGCAACGTTATGTGCAGTGCTAATTGTCTTTTAATGACAAAAGCGTTGCAGCTGTGGGAGAGAAAATGTGCTGATGAAATTAAAAAATTGTGCTTGGAAAAAAACGCGTCAAAATTTGCGCACTAACACTCTTTGATTAGTCGGCTACATTGCTTATGAAAGCCAAGGGTTAGAAACGCAAATAATTATGAATTCGAATCGATCTAGGCTATAGATGTTATTGCAGAGAAGGGTGTGCGATAGACTTACCTCCACATGGTGCACCCTGGGCAACGCAGTTGACTTCTGACTTCGAACTATGACCCCACTGTATGCCAAATTCGATCACTTCAACAGTACTAATCTTACCTTTTCTCTGCCTTTTTGCATGTCTGTCTACCTCTTTTACACTTGTGAATCACTCTTCTATTCACCCTCTCGGCTTTTCTCACTTTGATGTTCCTCCCCTCTGTGAAGCCACTTTGATGTTCCTCCCCTCTGTGAAGTCCGAAGTCAGCTAAAGGACCAATGACAACTATCAAAACGCCTGCCATTTGCAGAGTGCACAAAGCCAACAGGACTGAAAGGAGGAAACCCATGTAAGCTCGAACAGTCTGCACGGTGTGGCAGTGCCACTGATCAGGTAGGGGGTAAGTGTGGTAGTGAGTGCAGAAACTTCACAGTCGACCAGCAATCGATAAAAAACCCACTTATCCTAACTGTATATTCTAACGGGTAGATCCTATCAGTGGCCCAGAATCGGCAGTAAACGTTTTTCACTTCACGCATTCTGTTCCTCGAGACTGTTGTTACTTTCGTGGCAACTTTATACCAGACGACTTCGCCAGAAAGGATTGTTGGCGGTTTAGTCAAGGCCTATTTGCGCAGCAATAGCTATAAAGGAGGTAAATTGGGGGATTTAGGTCTTGCCATTAAAATTTCCACGCTATAATCCACCTAAGTTTGGACCTCCACACCCTAAAAAAAAACTTCGTTTCTTATTACCGGGGTTTTTCGGAAAATCCGCCCAGGGCGGTTAAACGGAAAATTCCATTTCACGAAACTATTCTTTGAAACCAAATAACCGTCCATCCCCAGTATCTTGAGGACATTTCGTTTGAGGTTGGCTTTCACAAGAGGTGGGTTTGCCCATATCAACTTTATAATACTACAAGGCCGCAGACAATCATGTGCTTATTCTTTATTTTTAATCAAATCTCTGCCTGGGAGACATAACTAAAATTGGCATTGGGTTGTAGCCTTATTTTTTGAGACTGAAGCACACATTTATCAAAAGTACGCGCGCCTAAAGCAAAAAGGTGCCTGTCAAATGAAAAATTTGTATTAATGCTATGGTTTCAAGAAATGATCAGAGTAGACGTAAAGACGGGCGGTTTTGAAATCCACTGTAATCAAATTAATAGGAAGGGAAACTTATAAAAAGACGCCTTTCTTGACTGGGAAGGAAGAGCTCGGGCTTGAATTCCAATTTGGACATTTTGGCACTAGCACCTACTGGGCACGTGTGAATGTTTACATCCATTGGAGAATGGTTTCCGAGTCGATTAGGTGAACTGGCTGTCAAGAAAGAAAAATTGGAATTCTGTTGATGCTGCATAATCCCACATTCAACAAGCAGAAGGACTGCCTAGTGCCTGAAAGTTAGTTTACATCTGGCACTGAAAGTCCTTATTTCTGAAGAAATTACACTTTCCTTTACACTTACAACACTATATATCTCAAAACATCAAAGATCAACCACGCTCGACCCGAATCTTTCAACGTGTGTATCAACACCAACAACAAATTTAGTGATAAAAATGTTGTATTTCATGAAAGAATAAACTTTGCTTTCACAATCATTCAGTTTAGACAAACAAGTCACACAGATATGAACACAAGCGCGCTAACAAGGCATATGAGAAAAAAAACAAGTGTGTGTGTGTCTGCTTCTGTCTAATTTCCTTTCGGCTTAGAAGACGATGACGTCGAAAGACACAACGAGGCAAGAGCTAACGGCAATTTGGGCAAATTAGCTTGATGCTTCTTCCAATAGGAGAGGAAATCCTTCACTGGATTTGAGTATTCGTGGGGGACAGGTCCCCGAACGTCACACTCAAAGAAGGTGAGTATAGGGAACCAGATCCAAGCGCGATGTTTACCATGGTGTGAAGCGTGATGGTTGTCTGCTTGCCAGTGGTAGTAGAGGAAGAGGCGAGTGGAGATGTAGATAGCAATGAAGACATCAATTGAGTAGTGTTCGTGTGCAGCAAGAATGAAGAAGACGCCGAAACCATTGAGCATCCAGGTTAAATTGTGCAACCGGCCAAGACGTTGGGGAGTATACTCGGTGATAAAAAAATTGAGAAGGGTGATCACGGTGGTATGGCCACTGAACATGTAGTCACCGCATGTCCGCACTCCTTGAAGTGTCATGCCTGGAATGAGAAAAGGGGTAAATCACAGCTGTACAATCATAACATATAAAAGAGATATGAAAATTAATTGTTGCATTATCTATAAACCGAGTAGGTATAAGAATAGATACTTGAAACCAAGCGGGTAAGGTAATACAGATCACCAGAGTAAATGAAATGAACACTGTTAAGAAGGCAAAGCTTATAGAACGGGAGATGCGCCGAAAATCTGTTGAAATCTGATATTGAAAGGTTTACGACTCTTATTTGCAACTAAGACATCTATTGCAATGACTAACAAAGACGAAGTTTTTAAACAGAAAGATCGACCCAAGATAAGCACTGAAAACATTTTCCTTTATAGCATCTCTAGTCATCAACCTGCTTTGTGCACCGGTGAAGTAGCAGTCAAGGTGAAAGGTAGGTCAGAGGACACATCGATGCTCATCAGTGCGCATTCGGTGACAAGGAAGACCAACAACCCTGGTAAATTGCAGACAAGAAGAGAGGAAGGTGAATTTGAGTTTCGCATAAGAGTGGCTCCACGATATAAGGAAGCTGTTTCACAAGGATGGGTTCAACAAATTATTACAAAAAACCATACCACTACAAGAACGTGCGACGAGAGATATCTAGGTCATTGATGGATGGAGGAACTGAAGAGAGAGGATCGAAGACAGTTTGATGTGAAAGAGAAGTGGAGATGAATTGAGAAATACTTCGAAGTGGACAGCCTGAAAGCGAGGTAATTAGAAGGAATGCTAATTTAACTCAAAGGTTATATTAAATGAAGATGGTCAGGTGGCTACCTGACAAGGAAATTGAGGTTCTGATAGGAAAATAGTGAGAAACGGCGTGTCACAGATTGAGGAGCTGCCTTAATCAAGAATTAAATGTTAGTTAAAAGACCATTGGAAGTTGCTTATGTTTCAGTTAGAGAAATGCGCAATTATTTGCATTCAAACAAAACAGAGATGAAAGTGATGGTAGGTAGGATGGAAAGGCCTATTCAACAAAAAAACACACAATGACCCACCCAAATTCAATACCCTTAAGTATTTCAACTTGAAATCTCCAAATCGAAAGCCCCTATATTCACTGATCTCCAATTATCGCAGAAATGAAAATCACATATCAATCTGACCTCCAGGAAGATCAAATGATTATTTCCTTTTAATAAATCAATGAAATAAATAAATAAATCCCCTCTCGGACTTCCCTTTAGACTGAAGTATGGCGTTAAAAGAAATACATAGCGACACTATTGCTGGGAAAGACAAACGACCATGGGGGACAAAGGCATCAACCCCGCAAAAAAACGAACATTCGATTAGCAGGAGCACATTTGAGAAAAGCTAGGAACACTAGAGAGTACTTCAAGCAGAGTGAACCAGTTAAAAATTAAAAGATTATTTAAAGTTCTGGGAGAGCATTGAGATTTACTAATTTCAGTGTTTATTAAATGATATAACCCTTAAACGCTCTCGTAGGACTGTACGGTCCTTTTTGAAAATAAGCTCCATTGGTACTAGACTCGTAGCAGAGGGCCCTATTGCCATTTGAAACATGTTCAATAGGTCTCTTTAGCCTTCGTCTGATACACCACCAAAACTCCTCGCTTCCGTGGCATCAGTCTTCTGTGAGACACACGCGTGGGTGTAATTGGATGTATCCTTTAAAAAATAATTCGGTTAAGCAAATTTGTTCATATTAGTGGTTGCTTTAAGAAAAATCACGCGTTTTGTAAGTTGGTTTTGAGTTCACTTTGTGTCCAGTCACTGTGAAGAAAAGAACTAGGTGAATTATTCTCTTTAGACAAAGTGTTTGACATTGTCTAAGTGTAATCAATTTTATTTTACTGTCAATCCAAAACCATTGAACTGCAAGGCAGACTTTTTCCTTAAGCCCCATCTGGCTACTAAAACCCCTTAGTTAAGTACTTGGGCTTCTCCAATGTCTATTTCTGTTTATGGAACATAGAAAACACCTGCAAGAGTTAGCACGAGGGTATCTATATATCTATCTATACCTACGACAAATTTATATTCTCCACTTTTAGAAAGAAATCTTGTATTCTGCATAAAACAGCCAGTTTAAAAATCATGCAAATTAGAGATGGTTGGTTAACTGGACGCAAGGAATTTCTGAAATGATAAGGATAGCAATAAGAAATGGAGCTCTTCACAAACAGGTTTTTGAAGCCTATAGTCAAGTACTTACGGTCCTTCAATGTCTATTTTGGTTTAAGGAGATTCACTCGGTGAATAAGAATTCAAATGATGCACACAAATGAAAGCAACCTACAAATTTTGACCCTCTATTCCAATCCTTGGTTAATCATCAAAGAATTACCTCATAAGCTCGAATGTCCACGATCAATTGGGCAAATACACTTGAAGTACGTTAGTAAATTGAGATATAATGGGATGAAAACGAAAACAGCTGTTTTTTTTGTTAAAAGAGGAGAATGTTGGAAATTTTATCGCTGGGTAATTCAACCAACCCAAAAATTCCTAGTTGAATTTGCCAGAAAGAGTGCACGTGAATTCCCACGTTTAGTAATGGTAAAAACCCAAGGTTGAGAGTCCCCAAATGTTAATAGAAGCTTTACGCAACAAATCAGAGGACGAATGATTAAAAGCCTGAAAATTATTTTTCTCGAGAAAGTAGACAACCAACAGCCAAAATACTGCGTCACTTGACACAACCTCAGAGATAAATACTCCGAAGTCAGTGCTTGCACGTAGCTCTCAAGTGTGGTAAGATTGAATTGAACTCATTGGCTAAAATTAATTCTTGAAGAGAAGCCTAATTTGGCATAGAAGCTTTTGAGGTCTAATTCCATCATACAAAGAAATATCCGTATTATCTTATCTCAACTTATTAAAGAAATAGAGAGAAGTAAATTATTTGAAAATTGCCAAAATTCAGCCAAAACAACGAAATCCCCGATAGCAACCAAAAGGGTAAATTAGGAAAACAGCCTGACAAAGGAAATGTACAAACACGTTCAGGTTATTTAAAGCAGATCAATACATATAAGAGTCACGCTTATGGCGATAAAGACCGATTTAAAATGTAGAAAATAGTAATACAATCATTGAATATAAAAACACACGTGAAAAAAGGAATTTCAAGAAATTTTAAATACTAGAGCACTAACTTATTCAAGAAAAAACTCACCCATACCAAACCATATAGTTGCAGCTCGTTCTAATCTTTCTTTGTAGGAGTGAAACACAAAAGGCTTGCATTCAGTCAGCAAATGTTGACCGGGAACACTAAGTGACGTGATGATCATCGTAACTGATCGTAGCAGAAAGACAGTTCCCATCAAGGAACAATACCGTCTAAGTAGTATTAATCTGTGTTTATGAAAGAAGAGAACTAATGTCCAGATTAGGGCAAGGGCGAGACAAGTCATTTCAGCAGCTTCGAAAGCCCAAGGGATATAAGGAAGGCTGTCAAGGAGAAGATCTGGCAAGGGAGGGTATTTTGATATGTCTGGAAGCCGTTCATGAGCAAGAACCATAACATAAGAGGTGACACCGAGGGAAAGGAAACAGTAGAGTGCACTAATAAAAACTTTCCATAGTTTGGGATCTGGCTCACAGGTTGGAGGATTGAGCAACATTCGAGGCGCTCTGCATCCACTAGATTCATCTGAATCTGAAGATGATGATGAATTCTTCATTTCAATAATGTAAAGAAGTCGTTTGATAACGCCTAATTTATTGATTCCAATCTCACGTAGATCGCCTTCCTTCAACATGCAAAATGACAACTCATCAATTCTGTGATGTTTAAAAATGTCAATGGTTTCATTGTCTACGTCCCTCTTTTTCAACCATTCAAAGAAAGCCTCATGAGATCTCCAGCGAGGAAGACAATCATTAAACGTATCGATACTCATGAGATACTTTTAACTGAAGGACAAAACCAATATTTAAGTAAAAGATCAAGCAAAACTGGGAACGAAGGAAAGAGTTTACCTTGCTTTAGGTAATGATAGTAGAAATCGTTACATAAAACGCAATATCAATACAATGCCTCAAAGCACATAACCATCCCCAAACCATGCAGTTCAAAATGTCGCAAGGTCGGCTGTAACCAAAATTATTGATTATAATATTTTTAATGAGAGTGGATTATTCGTCAACAGAAATAACCATTGATAAAAAATTTTTAATAACTTCTATGGATACTCAATTGCTCTCACATTTGCACTTTTTTCGTCTAAAGTTGGAATATGTTGGAATAATTTTTTTCTTTATTTCATTTCGAATCGTTACCACTTAGAACAACATTTCTTCTCTAACCTATTTATATTTTATTTGCTTTACTTATTATGGCAATAATACTTATTTTGCAATTTTTCAGACACTTACATCTTGTGCATAAATGGGGAAAGTTAACTTATATTATTCTTTTTTTGCATGCGTGTGACATATATCTTTTTTCATTGCAAACCAATTTTTGTGACTTTCCTCATTTCAATCAAATACGAAATTAATATTGGCTAGTCTGTATGCTAATTGCGTTTTTTGGTTAGTTTTTCCGCATATCCTGTTGTTTACGAACATTATGTTTTATGACCTTTCGCCGTTTTGTTACAGACTTTCCATTCATGAATATAGTAGACAAAACTCAGCGAAGTGAACTAACTAAACAAAATCATCCTATTCTAGAGTAGTTGGTCTTAGTTGCTTTGCTATGCTTCCTTTGTTTAGATCACATAGTTGAGATAATCTTCATTTTTCAGGATATGTCGGCAACTTTCCTATCATATAAGTGAACCCATTTATTTTCAGCCAATCAATCATCACTCTTCACAGAATACATCTTCCCTCAAATTTTTTTCTTGTCGAGGGACAAATTCAAGTTACTTATTTTATAAATAATACTTAATCCAATAATAATTAGATGACACATTTATATTGCGTTTAAGGTGTAATATCTCCGACCTTATAAAATATCTGACGTAATTTGAATGCAAATAAGGAATGAAACGAGGTTCTATGAAATAACAATTTATTATATCAATTTCTGCGAAATCTCAATGCTTTTCGCTGCATTTTAGCGAATTCCATTACATCAAATAATTGCCGTCCCATAATTTCACTTAAATTCTCTCTCGAAAATTCATTTTTTCCAGAAACTCGATTGAGTACCTCTATTGCAAACTCAAGACAGTCGTAATCCACATCTTTGGGTTCGTTTGAAACAGTTTCTATTATATGGTTCCATTCGGGTCCATCGATCTCTCTAATCTCCGCAATTTCGCAAACTATACTCTGTTTCCATTGATTTGACCGATCTTTCTGAAACCTCCTTTCCTTTGGAACATAGCTTATCACACATCCTGAAGTATCTATAATACCACAATGCAATTCGTCACCGACTTCAAAGTTTAAAAAACCACGGTTAATATCAGAAGGTATGAAAGCCACTCGAACAGGACAGCTTCCTGGAAACACAGCTGTATGTGCATTATTTGTTGGTGGAGATATTTCACATGGAAGAGAGGTGAAGTCCCCAATAGTTCCACAGAATTGACACGGTAGGATACGTGAGGCTGCAGAATATTGCCAAACATTGCTCTTGCCACAACACTTTGTTCTGAACTGATACAGCGATTTTAGCATAATGCGCTGACTTGCTGATAGTGCTGCACACGTTTCTCATATTAAGTTGGTGCGCGAAATCTGCAATTGGTTATGAACACTATATTGTGGAGCAATCCAAGCCTGCTTTCGTGTGCCTATGATTCATGCTATTCGATGAACTCAAAGTCTAAATGTAATTTCACAGGAGAATAGTTAGAGGATGATTCAACTTGTACTCAAAGTGTGCCAAATCTAGTTCGTAGCAATTGACGTAAAATTTGATTGTGACAACTTCTGACCTTTTAAGTGAACTACATTTTCCTTCTCCTATTGCATTTTTTAGCATCGGAACGAATTCCACTTGCAGGAACATGCAGGCATTGATAAATGAACTTGCTTCTATTTACCACGATTTCTTTTGTCCCCCATTCATACAGCATTCATACCGTTTCCATCATATTTGTGTCCAGAAAGTCTAATAGCAAGCGCTTTAAACGAAAAAAAAATAACCATGGGAGTAGAGGAAGAAAAATGATCAAACTAATCCACCTCAACGCAAGAAAATGCCCTACCTTCTGACCTGAGTAAAAAGATAAATGAGATGGCGACACGTGTCGGAAGAAATCAATATTTGATAATTCCGTTCACCGCAAGGGAAACTTGTGTCCTTTTTCATCAGGTAAGACGAAAATAGTCGATTTGGTACATTTAGACCTGTTTCCAAAAGTTGACGCGTGATGAAACAAAATAGTCATAACCACCTCAACTCATTCACCCCATCATACTAGACATCCCCATTGGATACAACAACTTGGTGGAGAAGAACTTAGACAACTAACCACTTCTCTTTCATTTGTGCCGTTAGGCGTGTGCTTTTATCCAATCATTTCGAGCTTTATCATGGGGTCTCGAAGATCTCTTTCTTAACGTAATAGAACATGCAAGCTATGCATTAGGTTTGGCCTAATAGGGGCTGTATGAACAAAGATCGCACATGGGCGCCTAAGGTATCTTACTCATTTTTAGTTGCTACAAGAAGTGCCACTTTGGAAGACATTAAATGACCCATCATTCAATTTAATTAGATGAAAAATTGGTACGCTTTGGGGCCTAGAGTTTTGAGGAAGTATAACATGATGCGATGAACTGACCACATTAAGTGAAAGCTGACAGAGAGGCGAATTCAGAAGTTAAATTCGGTTTGTCCCATTGGTTTCTTTACTGACATTTCTACCTCCTTGGGTTCTCTAAGCGTAATAGCAACAATCTTGCTCATTCATTTCCATTTAATTAGCATTGACTTCATAAGACGCATTATGATGGTTTAACCGGGGTGGGAGATAGACCTGCCTCTAAGTGGTATACCCTGAGCAACATGAACTCATACCAGCAATTGACTTCAAACTACCATGACCGGACTGCATGTCATATTAGACCACTTCCATAGTACTCACCTTACCTTACCTTACCTATTTCTCTACCTTTGTGTCTGTCTGTCCCCTTTACTTCTATGAATCACTTTTCTTGCGACTTTGTTGATCTTCCCCTCTGTGAATCCCGAAGTCAACTAAAGGGCCAATGGTAACTATCATATCGCCTGTCATGTGCCATAAATAAATGGCGAATTAACCCCCTCACCCCTTTTCATCCCTCCCGTGAGGTGCTCCTTATGAAGTAATCGATAAATGTGGGAAGATAGTGAAGATATTGCTCTCCAACAGATTAGACGCCACTACCACATGCCAATTACGGGAACCACGCAGGAATCCGATGAACAACTTAAAAGGCGTATTAGATGAGTCATCACTCGTCAAAATTACCAAAATAATATATTAAAGAAATAATTAATAAACGCATTACGATAACAGGCAAAACAAACATGGAACAATGACATAGTAATCAATCGGTGAGGGATAATATATATATATATATATATTCATGAGTTCAAATACATCTCAAAATAGTATCTTTAATTGGGACAAAACACAAAATGAGGGGGTGAGGAAGGAAGAGGAAGGCGATGAGATTGCATATTATTAACAGTTAATCCAACTGGGGTTGGCGTAATTAATCTTAGTCAATAAGGAAATGACAAGTTAATACAGATGTGGGTCAGGTAGGTAGGCAGGCAAGCCCTACATGCCTTAAAGCAAAGTTATGACAAACAAAGGGTATATGAGGAATGGGCGCATGTTATAATCTGCATCTAATCAGGTCGAAAAATACAATTTTGTTTTCTATACTCTATTCGTCCAATCGGACAGTTCGTAGGCTGTGGAGGTCAAATTCACATAGGAGTTCTCCGTTGCATAGAGGTAGAACCGCGTTGTTGACCGAACCTTACTTCTATGACCGAGCAATTCCGATAGTCGAACGGAGACGAATATGTCTGCCGGCGGTTCAATGGGCTTGATCAACAGGAGTTCCACTGTTCTCCTGTCGGTGGATTTGACTCCCAACTAAACCGTAAAAATGCGATCAAGTTTTGAGCTTTCTAGCATTATTCAAGTTAATCCCACTTCCTCTTATTACCTTAAGTGAATTCCTAACGGAAATGTGTCGTTTGCTGCGAGTGTCATAAGCATAGTGCTCAAGTAGTTCGACATTGACTGTTCCACGTTTGACAATGGAGGAATCCAGCTCACCAAGGACTAACCGTTTTGTCAATACCGCTGGTAGTTCAATGTGAAGATGGTCCATTCTCAATGGACGATCGTTCAAGCAATATGGGTCGAAGGTGTTACACTCGTATTCAGGCATTAAGGTGCATCTGTAAAATTGGAGATAAATTTCACATGACTTTGTTTAAATTCAAGTTAAAACCTTCATTATGCAAACGGATTGTTTGGTTCGAATTAAAAAAAAACAATAAAATGCCACGGGAACTTTGAAAATTTGCGTGATGAATCTTTAATTGAAATTGTAAACAATAACTAAGACTAACCTAATAAATAATTAGATTTGAACATTAAATGAAGTCCGTTTTAATCGCTCCAAAAAGTAATACAAATTGTTTTGCGTTACCTATGCAATTGGAAATGTCAACATAACACATTTTGATAATCAATAATATTAATTACAACGTACCAAGAACTGTATACAAAAGAACACAGAGAGTGCCTGTCTGGTCTAGGTCATATAGCTTTACCTCGTGTCAAATACAACTGTTTAGATTGTCAAACTAGACACACTTGAGGTCAGGGAGTGTCAATCATGTTCCTGTCACCCCGTGTCTCAAACGAAGCATATCATGCGATTCAAATCTGATAGCGCGGATATCACACTAATCACGCAACATTTTACTTCATTTCGTATTGAATGACCTTGAATGAGTTTCGAAGTTTACCAAAATGCTTCTACTCGTATCAAGAATGCGCGAGGGAATTAAACCAACTATTCCAGAGGTTTCAAATATTTTGGAGAGGGGTGTGCGATAAACTTACCTCCACGTGGTGCACCCTGGGCAACGTATACTCATACGGCAAAAAAGTCTATTAACCGGCATTTGACTTTTGACTTCAAACTACCACGACCCCTCCTGGTTGTCATATTCGACCCCTACCACAGTACTCACCTTACCTTATTCTCTACCTTTGTGTCTGTCTGCCTCTTTTACATCTGTGATTCGCTCTTCTATTCCCAACCCCTCGACTTTCTGCTACTTTGATGAACCTTCCCTCTGTGAAGCCCGAAGTCAGCTAAATGGCTAATGATATCTATCAAAATGCCTGCTATTTGAAATAAATAAATATTTTGGAGATGGCCTAGCTTAGAAATTTTGGGTCTATATTATTTGAAAATTTTAATGTCAATTATGCTCCTGATGAGAAAGTTCCATGATTCATACAGGAGGGGGATGTGGGGTGGGGTGGGGGGGGGGGTGAATGACCACTTCCCTTTTCTGGACTATTTTACTAATTTCTGAGCACAGACATCATATACTTTACATTTAAAATGATTACTATCGAGAAAAGCATAAATTGAAGTATGAAATTTCTAAAGTACGTGGTTAATAATTGTACTTTTAGCATCGATCGGCTGTGATTTCAGAGTTCTGTCAATTTATTTCTAACCAGTCATTCGCAAATATTATTTTAAATATGGGATCTTCAAGCAACTAAGTTCAATTCAATTATAAGACAAATTTCAAGGTTTGCGGTATTATGGACTACAATATGCTCAAATCAGCCGGTTGAAAAGAAACAGACGCATTAATTGTTACATTACAGCTCCATCTAACCGTCATCGTGCAATGAACTCTAGACGCTGAGATCTAATTAGAAAATCGATTTTTTGGCGTGGGCTATAGACTTACCTCCACGTGGTGCAACCTGGGCAACGTATACTCATAAGCCAAAGAGTCTATAATCCGGCAGCTAGCTTCAAGCTACCATGACTAGACTCATTGTCATATTCCACCACTTCCGCAGTACTCAGGTTACTCTTTTCTCTACCTTAATGTCTGTCTCTTTACATCCGTGAATCAACCTTCTATTCATCCCTATCGACTTTTTGTGACTTTAATGCTCCTCCCCTCTGTGAAGCTCGAAGTCAAATAAAGGTCTTTTGATAACTACCATAAAGTCTGTCATTTCAAATAAATAAATAAATAAATGTTTGGTTTCTTTATCACAGCCCACCTATTGTTCATTCTCTGAAAGCGTTTTAGTGTAGTACCTAATCCACCTATATCTCATCTTCTGAGAGTGATTTTCAATACCTTTAGGCTTTTTATTTTGAAAGAGACAGCTGTTTCCCATTAGTCCGAACGAAGATGGCCAATTTTGCTGTAGATATCACCTCGCATACTTTGGTCCAGCTCGTGCATTCGGTTCCACGAATTGGATTCAGTGATACTCTAATTCGCACGCATTAATTTTATTTCCACATTTTTAAAATTGATGAAATGGATTGCAATCCGAGATTACTTCATCTAACCCTCATTCATCAGCCTTCTACTTGAACATTCTCCAAACCAATCAGTCACGGTACTCATCTATTCATTGACTTATTGCCAGAAATTCCAGACGTGTATTCTCTTTATATAACCTCATAAATCACCATGGGGCACTGCTTTAGTCTGTCCAAATGACTTACTTCTTCCAATTACTTTGATACATCTCTGGTGGATGGAAGTTAATTTCAATTTTGGAGCACTCGAAGAAATACACACATGTTTTCAGCTGTCACAATTTTGGCAAATATTGCAATGTTGAATTGATTCATATATTTTTGATGTCTTTTCCCAACTTCAGTAGCTATTGAATTTATTTCTATTTACCCTTTTAACGCCCGTATGGGACCGTACGATTCTCTTTCAAAATAAGTTCCATTGACACTAGACTCTTAGTAGGAGGCGCTATTGCCGTTTGAAACATTTTCAATACGTGTCTACAGCCTTCGCTCGATACCGCCAAAACTCATCACGTCGGCGGCATCAGTCTGCTGCTGTGAGACATGCGTGAGTGCAATAAGGGGCATTTTTCAAATAAAAACAATTCGGGTGTTAAAGGGTTAAAACAACATGGAAATCTGTATGGGCATTCTCCTTGTGAAAATGCACTTAATGGTTAATTCTCTTTACCGAAAGCTGTAGTTAAATTAAACAAACTTGCCCTTAACTTGTGCCTCACCTAAATAAAATAGACTAAAATAGGGCATGAGCCAAATTTTACCCATAGAAGGCATGTGATTTAAAGAATGCAATGAAATATGGGTGCTTGGAAATTGAAATTAGACCTAATTTCCTAGCCATTTTTCCATGTTATCTGTCCTTTTTAAGGGTAAGCATAATCAACTTTACGAACCTGTATCCATTGGGAATTTTCGATTTCGCATACATTGTGGGACAGCGCTCGGAGACACAACGGTAGGAGCCGTGGAGGTTCACGCAGGAGAAGGTGATGCCACGAGTGTGACGTGTGGTACAGATGCCGTCATGCTCCTGACATTCATTAATATCTGTAGAAGCAAAATAGAACCACTCAGGTCACTCACGGTCAACTCACAGTTTGTTCAAGAATACAAATAATCAGCCCGAAATGACTGCATAATGGCAGACTCCTTGGGTGTACCTTTTACGTCACTTGAAAATTGCATGCATATTAATTGCAATGGAAGAATATGGATAAATAGGCAAATGATGTTGGTAATATTTTGAGGCATTATAAGAGTGCTGTAAAAATGATTACTTTTACTGGAGTTAATGCATTTCGGCGATTTTGTTGATAAAAGTTATTGCGACTTCATTATTATAAGCCAGCGTGAAATTCACGTAATTGGCGCCACCAGTATTGGCGGCGAAACCGAATCTAACTACAAAATCAATAGTCACGCCAATAAAAAGCCATGCAACAGATGCGGTCAATGACTGCTATCGAGCCGATAGTGAGGACAAAATTCGGGGAAGAGGAGGAGAAGGAGGATTGAAGTATGAGCAATAAAAATATTGGTCAGTAGTTGACATGTTTGGCGCTTACCAATGTTCCCGTCCCCCCCCATGGGTACCCGGTCTCTGTCTCATTGACCTCAGTGACCTGATAATCCCCATCCCTATTTAGTGGGCAACATCTAACTCGGAAACTTTCGAACCCACTTATTTGCCTATTTGTGGTCTATTTATCTGCGACAAGGTTATTATTAAGCCGAAATAATCTCTTTCGGAAAGCCAGACATCCTACACTATCCAGGGCAAGTAGAATTGAAAAATTGATACAGTTGATCAAAATGCGCTCATACAAGTATAAGTGCACAAATATATTGTTTATTTATAGAACTTATTCACTAACAATTTGTTTGAACTTTGCTTATCAAACCGATGAAACTTATTTGTTGTAAATAGCACAATTGCATTCGAAAAAATGTATATCTTGTTCGAAAATCTGAAACTGACGAAAACTTTGCAAAAAACAATAAGATGAATTAACCTAAAAAAATTGTTTTTATTTTCCGCATAATTAAATTAAAAAAATAAAGTTGTTGTTCAACCTTGCTAACTCTACAAATGGATTTTGAAAAACGTTTTCCCAACTAAAGCATCTAATTATGGTAAAATCGTGATTATTTTCTCAGGACAAACATAAATAAAATGACTTCATTTGATATAATGCAAAAGCATTCAATTATAATATAATTCAAAAAAAAACAATTCTTGAAACTCACCAATGCAGGTTCCTCCATGTCCTAAACGGAAACCAGATGGACAGTCACAACGGAATGATCCCGGCGTGTTGACACAATTTCCGCTCTGGCAAATATTATTGGCCCCTTTTTCTGTGCACTCGTTGATATCTAACGCCACACGAAATAGATAATGAGAAAATTCGTGCGTTTAAGTTCAAATTGCACCAAAACTGGATGCTATTATTGAAAAAACAGTTTACTAAAGTATTTGTAAAGAAAGGATAATTTTTTCAAAATGAAATCTGGACTCTAGTCGATCCAGTGGTAAAAAGCAAAGCTGCTTGCACAATTGCTAATGATAAGCGATTTGGAGGTTAACTTTCAGTTGTCCAAGTTAAACGCCGTTGTCATTATCTTTAATGTACTTGAAAATTTACAAAGCATGGGGTAGTATGGGAAGTGTCTAAGGCTTCATTAATTAAATTTTCTTGCAAAACGGAAAATGCCGATTGCCAAGACCTTGTACTGTTGGCAGTTGACATTGCGCAGATTAGTGAAGGCAACCTCTTTATTTATCATCCAGTGGGGTGTGCGATGGACTTACCTCCACGTGGTGCACACTGGGCAACGTATACTCATATGGCAAAAAGTCCATTAACCGGCAGTTGACTTCTGACTTCAAACTACCACGACCCCCCTGGTTGTCATATTCGACCCCTACCACAGTACTCACCTCACCTTTTTTCTCTACCTTTGTGTCTGTCTGCCTCTTTTACATCTCTGAATCGCTCTTCTGTTCCCTACCCCTTGACTTTCTACTACTTTGATGAACCTTCCCTCTGTGAAGCCCGAAGTCAACTAAATGGCTAATGATATCTATCAAAATGCCTGCCATTTGAAATAAATAAATAAATTTATCATCTATTGGGTTGGCAACTAAGTCATTGCCGTTTTTGTTGACAGATTCACTCTATACTTTCTTTTGTTTTGTTAACGTGGCCAGAGCATCTAACCTATATTTTTTTCTTACTGTATGGGCTTCTAGGTTAATTAGTAAAAAATTTTTTGTTTAGCTCTTTAGTTTTGTTTTTATCCCAATTTAAATATGAGAGAACAGGACGTGCACTTCCGACACATTTTATTGTATTACTTCCGAAAAGGCAAGAACGCATCGCAAGCACAAAAGAAGTTATGTGCCGTATATGAAGATGAAGCCTTAAAAGAAAGGCAGTGTCGAAATTGGTTTGAAAGATTTCGTTCCGGTGATTTTTCACTGAAAAATTCACAACGATCTGGCCGCCCAGTCGAAGTGGATGAAACCCATATCAAGGCCATTATCAATTCAAATCGTCACAGCACAACACGAGATATTGCAGAGAAGCTCAATGTGTCGCATACATACATTGAAAAAAATTAAAAACCCTTGGTTATGTCAAGAAACTTGATTTATGGATCCCTCACCAGTTAAAGGAAATTCATTTGACGCAACGGATTAGCATCTGTGATTCGCCGCTACTGAAACGCAATGAGAATGATCCATTTCCGAGGAAGAACCTAGTTACTGGCGACGAAAAGTGGATAGTTTATAACGATGTTACTCGCAAGAGATCATGGGTGAAGCAAGATCAACCAGCCCAAACAGTATCAAAAGCAGAGATTCACCAAAAAAAGATTATGCTGTCAGTCTGGTGGGATCACAAAGGAATTTTGTATTTTGAACTCACGCCGCAGAACCAAACGATAAATTCAAATGTGTATGTTGAAGAACTCGAAAAACTGAAGGATGCAATTGAAGATAAGCGACCGGCATTATCAAATCGGCG